CATTTTAAGAGGCAGTCTAGGGGAAAATAACCTGTGTAAATTACTTGTACACCAAGTACATCTTGGTGTACATCTCTCTGTGAGCAGATGGGTGGTTTCTAAATCTGATAAATAAATAAATAAATGCTTGGAATGTGCTTGTGTAATTTAATTCTCTAAATATTTCTGCATCTCAACTAAATGTTCTGGACGCATTCACATGACATTCCCAGTTAGCAAGTAGCATAATTGCCTGTGTTTTACCTTAGCATGTTATATGAGCCCAGCTCAAATGAGATGTACAAATGTGGAGCCCTGGGTCAATAAAATGAAAATTTTGCTAATTCTGGGTAAAAGTTCTCCCAGCTCGGTTTCCGAGCTGTAGGAATGTTCTAATTCACCTATTTTAAAGGTTAAGTATTCCTTCCACACAGAGACTCTAAATTAAAGTTAAAGGAAGTGTTGCTAAGGCTCTTTGAGTAAAACAAAATTATTTGTTGGCTCAGATAGGTTATGTAAGCTGTATAAATAAAGCTCCCCACTTGTGTAACTCTTATTCTCCAGATTTGGAGCCAAATGTTTAGTATGTATGATACTTAAATCCTAATAGAGTTGCTTAATTTAGTTGCTTAATTTAGCATACTGCCATGGAGAAAACCTATCTGTTAAGAGTTGACAGCAATTGATGGCACATAATCAATTGTCAATAGACAGCCCCAATTAATCAAACTATGGTTTCAGAGTAGGGTGGGCAACTTAAGCATTAAATGCTTTTTTAGCTACTACTGGAATCAAATTAGCTCAAATTTTACGGTTAGATAACAGGAATCTTTCTACAATAATCCTCAGATAACCCAAATAGGAGATGGTGCTATCATATTTACTAGTAGTCTTTGGCTTATACCTACCATTGGAACTGGAATTTCAGTCGCTAAGCAATGCGGTCCTTAAGCAAGTCCTCAGGTGACCAGATCCAATTTTACAACCATTTTTACCACCATCATTAAGCAGATCATCATGTTGTTAAGCAAAGACTGGACAGCCATTTGTCTGAAATGATATAGGGTTTCCTTCCTGAGCAGGGGGTTGGACTAGATGACCTCCAAGGTCCCTTCCAACTTTATTATTATTATTATTAAATCTGATTTCTTCAATTGGAGAAAGGTCACAAATTGTGATCATCTGACTGCAAGATGACGCAACCATCATAAATGCAAGCCTATTGCCAAGTGCCGGAACTGGGATCACGTGACTGGGAGCAGCAGTCATGACTTTAAGGACATCTCATAAGTCATGTTTTTCAAGGCTGTTCTAACTTCAAACGATAGTTAACAGTCATAAACTGAGGACTATATTATTATTTTTTGGGGCTTTGGATACTGTTTGTTTTTAAAAGGAAGCTACGAACCGATTCCAATTTGGGACCTTTCCCCAATTGGACAAATCAGATTTGCTTAATAACATGGACATTTCTTTAATGATGGTGTTAAAATTGATGGTAAAATTGGGTCCGGTCACCTGAGGGCATGCTTAATGACCGCATTGCTTAGCGACTGAAATTCCAGTCCCAACTGTAATCGTAAGTCAAGGATCACCAGTAAAGATGATAGCAGACACCGCCATCTCCTATCTGAGTTATCTAAGGATTATTTTAGAAAGATTCCTGTTATCTAACCACAAAATCACAACACTTGAAACAGAAGGAAGCCTGCTTTCTAATGTCTTACATAACTCAGAAATATTTAAGCTGGTACTGACAATAGTTGGTGAAGGCTGCTAACAGAAATTAAAACACATGGAGTCATCTGCAAAAAATCTCTGTGCTACCATCAGAACAGCCATGCTACAAATGATAGAGAGACGGGAAGGGAGATAACAAAACAACAAATATTGTCCATCAGGAATGACGGAACTATGTGATCTGTCAGACCTCCCTACTTACAAATGGTTCGTTGTGCAGCAGCCAGCCAGGAGGATGAAATGGCACAAGCCTAATTTAATTAAAATACAATATACCCCACCCTAATGGAGAAACTGTAACCCAAGTATCTCCATTGCTCAGGCTGTAAACTGTGGATGGCGAATTTCAGGGGTAGGCCACCTTGGCTCTTTTATGACTTGTGGACTTCAACTCCCAGAATTGCTGAGTCAGCCTGGCTCAGCTTGGAAACCTCTCCCTTTCCCCTCAGCGTGGCTGGCTCGGGAATTCTGGGAGCTGAAGTCCACACGTCATTAAAAGAGCCAAGGTTGCCTACCCCTGGCCAATTTCTATACGAGTCCTTGACTTATGTCCAAACTTTCTATTGCTAAACAAGGCGGTTGTAATTGAAGTTGCCCTCGATTTTGCAGCCTTATTTTTTGGCCTAGTTGTTAAGCAACCCCTGCCATTGTTAAGTGAACATTGTGGTCATTAAGGGATTCTGCCTTCCTCTGTTGTTTTTGCTTGTTCAAAGCCGGCTGGGGAAGTTATAAATAATGATCACACGACGTCAGGACATTGCAACTGTCATAAATACAGGCCAGTTGCTAAGCGCCCAGATTTTGATCATATGACCATGGGGATGCTGCAATGGTCATAAAGGTGAAAAATAGTCATAAGTCACTGTTTTCAGTGTCATTGTAACTTTGAAACAGTTAACAAATGAATGGTTATAATTTGAGGACCAGCCGTACATTACGACTTAAGTATCACACATAAACTTCACCACTTACCTCCGAACCTGGAGAGTCAGAAGATACCCAAGCTTTGAGTGGGAGCTTTATTCCCACAGCTTGCACAGTTTATCTGAGCTAAGAAATAATTTGGTTTTACTCAATGAGCCCTTTTCTTATTAGCAACTCTTCCATTATATTTTCAAGAAAGAACTTAGTGTGTCAGTCCTGTATTTCTGCAGGCAGTAGGGTTGGAATCCTGAAATTCGAGAAGTGGTCCTCCACTTATAACAGTTGATTTAGCTACCATTCAAAGTTACAACGGCACTGAAAAAAGACCCGGATGACCATTTTTCGCACTGAACGACCGTCGCAGCAGTCTCATTGTCGCATAATCCAAAATCGGGCACCTGGCCTGCGTTTATGACCATTGCAGTGTCCTGGGGTCACGTGATCCCCTTTGCCAGCCTTCTGATGAGCGAAGTCGATGGGGAAACCTGGATTTACTTCACGACTTAACAACTGCAGGGATTCACTCAACTTCTGTGGCCAGGAAGGTCGTAAAATAGAGCAAAACTCACTCGACAAATGTCTCACTTAATGACAGAAACGTTGGGCTTCATTATGGTCGTACGCCGAGGACTATACGTATGCCTTTCTGGAAGAATGTGTCCCTGTACAGTGTCCCTGACCACAAACTGAAAGTTGGGGTATATTTTCCCAACTAACAAAGACAAATTTGATTTATTTCGCACGTGCGCCTGCAGAGTTCTGCATGTATCCTATTAAGTAGGTCTGTTTTATTCACAGTTTCCCCCAAAATCAAGAGATCTCTACGTTAGAACCAGTAACAGTTTCTTAGTGCTTTAGTGCCAGGCGGTCTTAGTCAGAATCTTTTTCAGGAAATCGTGAGTTCAAGCACAATAGCCCACAAGGGGATTTTCGACAGAGACATACATATATATAACGTGCTGTCTACTATTTTGATCCCCTTGCTATAGATCTGTTTTGTCTATATTAGTGGCTATAAATAGTTACCAGCAAACTTTCCTAAGTTCTAACACCCTCTTCCAGTTATCTCCAAGGGCAGTAATCTGGTTGCTTGTAAGGAACTATAAAAAGACCCAACAAAGTTCAAGAAATATCTGGAGAGATTGACATGAGCCATCAAGATGCTTGTTAGTGATGTAACAGGCAAGCTGAGTCATCCTTTAGGGGCAAAGTTCAAATTTTATTTATGAAGGACTAAGAGCTGGCTTGGCCAGAAGGTAAACGGTTCTTTCCAACTAGCTCCTTCTGTTTGGGACTACAGCACCCACAGGGAAAACTGGAAGAGAATCAGCGCATGGAGTAGGGCACAGTGTTGGGCTATGGCTGGAGAGAACCACATTCATCCCTTCCATGAACCCAAAGCTCATGAACTTGCCTTGAGGGCAGTCAGTCCGTCTCAGCCTAACTCACACAAATAATTGTTGGTAGGGACAAAACCTAACTTATTGCTAATTAAATAGTTTGAAAACTGCTATTTACAAAACACCCAGGTTATTCCATATGGAAGCTTAGTAGTCCAGTAAACTTACTTAGAATTGTTATACTTTCCAATGTCTTTTCCCATTCCTAAATGTCATGCTAACATACCGGACTGCAAAAATCTGGGTGACCACTAGATGGTAGGCAAGAGGTATAGGAAAACCAACTCTTTGCTTCCTTGTCATCTGTGTCTTAGAAGACAGAGAACCCAAGTAAGGCTATTTTCTAATTTAGCCTCCTGTTGTAGAAATTTGTATTTTGTGGGAGTTGATGGAGAAGTCCTTTTAATATATTGGTTCTTTTGGATCAGTTTTGAATCTATCATCCTATACAGGTAATCCTCGACTTACAACAGTTCATTTAGTGAACTGTTCGAAGTTACAACAGCGCTGAAAAAGTGACTTACGACCATTTTTCACACTGACAATGATTGCAGCATCCCCACAATCATGTGGTCAAAATTCAGACACTTGACAACTGACTCATATCTATGATGGTTGCAGCGTCCCGGGATCATGTGATCATCTTTTGTAATCTCCTAACAAGCAAGGTCAATGGGGAAGTCAGATTCACTTAACAGCCCTGTTACTAACTTAACAACTGCAGTGATTCATTTAATATCTAGGTAGTAAAATGGGGGAAAACTTACTTAACAAATGTTTTACCTAGTAACAGATTTGGGGTTAGTTGTGGTCGTAAGTTGAGGACTACCTGTACTTTGTAGAATGAGGATATAAAGAGAAGAGATTAGCATTAGGTATTTTAACCTAAATGTGGACCATCTTTTAGCTGAGCTTAGTAACAAGGCCAACAGAATGAAAAGCATTGTGTATACTCACAGTGCATGGTTCATCTTAGTTTTCCGTTTGTCAGCACTTTTGTCTCTGGTTCCCATCTCTTCTTTTGTCTCCTCAAGAATCTGAAAATAGAAGAACATGTACAGATGACACGAAGGCCTGCTAATCTCTGTCTACCTGTTTAGCCTTTGGAAGATGCTGGAAGATGCTGTAAAGCTAATGATCCTCTGATTTCACTAGTGGGATGGAAAACGCAAAACCATTTGGATTGTTTCCTGCCAGTTTCAGCATGTGCCCTTCTCCAGTATTCGAGAGAAGTAAATAAATAAAGCAAACAAACTGCTTGTGGTATGCTTGTAAATGGGACACCAACATGAGAGTTGATGGTAGAGCCAGCCAAAGACTTCCTGAGTTTCCAAATACGGATTTCTGCCCAATGTTTAATTTGCATTTATAAATCCTAGCTTACTTTTGTACTTTTCCCAATCGCTAACTTCTCAGCAGTTCGGTATCCAGTGAACAGTGGATGAAAAAGCTATTATTAAAACTAATTGGTAATTGGCATACACACCGAGAGAGAAATCACTCAAGACTCTTTATATTCAGGCTCGTAGTTGTTGTAAAATGGCTGAGCTTGACTCACCGTTATGACATGGAAACATCCGTGCAGTTTTCTTGAAAGCAAGTCAGAAGTGGTTTACTATTACCGTATCTTCTTTCAGGATGTATTTTTTTTAACCTATCCTACAGTTCTCCTATTGATTACTCATCCAGACCCAACCTTCCTTAGCTTCTAAACAAAAATGCAGCTCAAACACTGAAAAGCAGCTCTGATGCTTTTCAAAAACCATTAGAACAACAGTTCAGTGGTGGAATTCAGCCAGTTCGCACCCGTTCAGTAGAACCGGTAGCTAAATGTTTGTTGCCCAGGCCCAGAATGGACATCTAGAAGCAGCATCCACACAGAGAACCGATTGTTCACATATTTGAACCCCACCACTGCAACAGTTCCTCAGTATACCTAACCAGGATGGGATTCATCCATGATAAATCTTTATTTAACTTATATGGGCTTATAAACTATTTCAGAATGTCCATAGATATGGCCCCCCTAAATCAGGATGGCCACACTGTGCAATTAAAGTCTCTGTGGAAGAATGTATTAAGGAGATGGGTTCCCAGGAGGGATGGGATGCATTCCACAGGAGTTAAGAAGCAACTCAGTCCTGATATTATATGTTTCAGTCCTGATATTACATGTGAGAGAAAGAGGGACTAGTGCACATATTCTAGATGCAGATAACAGAGTCCTTAGTCTGGCAAGATTTTGTCTATAGATGTTAAAAACAAAGAACTAAGTTTGGAAGAATCACCACATATCATTCTTGGTTTGGGGTCTGACATTTTACCAGTTCTTTACATGCATTGTAAACAAGTTATAGCTTCAACCATGCCATTGGCTGCCATCTTGATTTTTTATTTTTTTATTTTTTGGACTACTCTCTGTACTGCTCAAATCTGAGAGGACTCCTGGTTTATCTTTTTCTCTCCAGTAAGAAAACTCCACAAAACTCCATAACACTCAACAGGCTGGTTGTAAGTTCTGGGATCTATAATCCCAGCCTATTTGGAGGGCGACAGATGTAGAAGGCTGAGCTGAACTATGGATTTGTTATGAAGTCTGAGCTAGCTAAATATAGCTATGGTGATACTATCTCATTTAGGGAGTGGATTGGAAAGGAAAAGCAAACAAGCAGCTCTAAACTCTGGTTTGTCTCTATGTCTGTGGACTAAAAAGCGTGGCTAGATCCACAAAAGAGTGGCTTCATCTGATGTCTCTGGACGATGAGCCACCACTGAATCTAACTATAGCCCTCTCCCATTGAAACCAATGAAGAGGATCGATTTCAAAAGCAACCCAAAGCTTGCATTCCAAGCGATCTGTCATAGGATAGCGGAAGATTTTCTCCTTCACCTCTCCAGTTGCCCTGGCAACCGTTTCTAAGCTATCCAGCACTGGGGATGACTGTCAGATGAGTCCCCCCCCCCTACACCTGATATGGAGAAGCAGTAGTTGACATCATACAAGGTTTCCATTTTGAAGGTTGTTGGCTTTTTTTTTTTTAATCTTTTATTTGGCTAAGCTTTGAGCAAATTCCTGGAATAGAATTTTGAAGGGGGCTGATGCTTAATTTTTAAGGAACTTTGTTTTGCATGCCAGCAAATGTACAGGTAGGCTTTCTCCAGCTCCAAAACTTCTGCCTAGGAAAGCTTACCAAAGCTAAAATTGCAGGAGGCAAAAAAATTAGAGCTTTGAGTCAATGACTATTCTCAGTCATCCAGGTAAGATTGCCTGAAGGTTGAGTCATGGCAGCTGGACAAATTTTTTTCTTGTTAGTTTGAGACCTTTTGCAGCTTCATCAGTTGGAGCAAGTTAGTCAGGCAGAAAATGTGCCAACTCTTTCTGTACCAACCTCAGGGGTTCCTTCCCCAAAGCTGGAGACTTGAGGATAACTTAAGTCGCTTATCCTTAAGTCTTCCAACAGAGTTGGAGACTTGAGGATCACATCTGCAATTCAAAAATCTCAGTTGGGGAAGTCCTTATGAGGATCAGCCCCTCCAAACATGGAATGGGACAAGTCACCACAGGACAACCTCAAAAATTCGATTTAATTATTTAAAGCAATTAAACAATTATTTTAATTTTTGTCATTCGGGTTTCATTCTGTCCCTCCTTCCGCATTCTTTCTTTAATGATTCTAGTCCACCATTTCTTTGATATTAGTGGAACTCTTTTTCCGCAGGGAGTTGGCCACGTCGAGTTGGCTGCTGATCCCTCCCAACAGCCCAACGGAAACAGACTGTATTCCTCAGTCACGTAAAGCTAAGTAACTGAAGGAGGAAAAGATCCGATCCTGTGTAGAGGAAACGATCTGAGAGTAACTTTGCCTCAGATTACTTCCGTTCTGCAGCTTTTTTTTTTTTTTTTTTTTGCATTTGAGGGACAGGTTGAGATTGCAGGCCTTCCTCTGTCTATTTAAAAAGGGTTTTCTTCCTTTTAGTAAAGACCATAAGTTGGAGGTTTTGAAGCAAAAGAGGACTGGCGCTGGAAGCCCCAGTAGGTCGCTTGGTGGGCAGTTCTGCAGATTTTGCATAAAGCTCTCGAACAAAATAGGGAGTGTGTTGCATCAGCTCCTAAAGCAGAACAATGTCAGGACTGGGTGTCATTTTCCAATCTAGAGGATTTGGTTTAGACAGAACGCCACTGCGTAACTTTAAGCAAGTCTGTGTGGACTAGTCTACCTGCTGAGGACTTCTGAGGACTCTTTTTCAGAGTTTTGAGAAGGGGAAAAAAGTGATAGAGAGCAGGGAAAAAGAAGCCCATCCCTGTTAATAAGATAAGATAAGATGAGATGGGATGAGATGAGGCAAGGCAAGGCAAGGTGAGGCAAGATAAGATAAAAGATATAAGATAAGATAAGATATAAGATAAGAGATAAGATAAGATAAGATAAGACATAAGATATAAGATAAGATAAGGCAATGCAAGGCAAGGCAAGATGATAAGATAAGATAAGATAAGATATAAGAGAAGAGAAGAGAGAAGTGAGAAGATAAGATAAGATAAGATAAGATAAGATAAGATAAGATAAGATAAGATATATTGTCATTTTTTTACTGTGGGCACAACGGCACGCATCAAAAATGAAATTTAGTTGCCCGCTCTCAAAGTGAAACACATACATGACACACACCTAAGCATATTATATACAACATGTGTACAGACCCACACCCCTCCATATACATAACAAATAAATATTAAATATTGTCCATCTTGAATATATAACGGAAGGAGGAAGCTTGAGAGTTCGCAAGGTTAATGCGGTATGGAATGAAACTATGGCTGAATCTGGATGTTCTGCCACGGATACCATGAAGCCCCCTCTTCCCAGAAGAGAACAAGGAAAATGTTCACATTCGCTCCAGAAATCTGAGGGTAAAGAAGATTATCTCATGGGATTTATTCACATGTTTGCTTGGTTGATGTAATCTGTGGCTAAGAATATAAAATAAACTGCAGCCAGCATTTGGAAAATAAATAATTTAAGGTTCACACCACTCAAGTCACAGGGATCATGATCCCTAGTTCTCAAGCACTTGGCAAATATACCTTTAATTCTTTATAAGCATATCTCAAAATACAGGGCACCTGAAATAACACTGATTATATAATCCAGAAATGCCACTGTATTTGTTCTTCTCGGCTTTCTGCATTGCCCTAGCTCAACATAGTTACATAATTTGGAGGGTTTTTTTTTTTTTTTTTTTTTTAGGAATCCTTGCTAGGATTCTACTTTAGTATTTAAATGACTGATCAGCTTAATGTTAGAAACAAGCTTATCTCTCTCTTTTTTAGTTCTAGATTGTATCGGGGATGGAAGGAGAACCTCAATAGATAATGTACTCCTAACAGAATAGAATCTGAGGAATGTATTTTGAATATGAAGCAAGAAACAAAGTCTCTTAACAAGAGAGGAAAAATTATGCAGTTATTATGTTAATCTTCTCCAAACTGATCCTGCCGCCCCCCCCCCACCCCGTGGTTCCCAGCCAACATAGTTTTGCCATCAGGGGCCACCCTTTAATGAACTCTTCGTGAACACTTCTGAACAGGAGATTATTCACCGGTTACCTACAGCCATTATTTTTCAACCTTCTTAACTTGAAGGTATTAGGACAGTGGTTCTCAACCTGTGGGTCGGGACCCCATTTGGGGTCGAACAACCATTTCACGGGGATCGCCAAACAATGCAGTCCGCCATTTTTTTCCCCTTTTCCTTAGCTGTGCTACTCCCTTTTATTCTATTGGCTTTTGAAAGCCAATAGAATAGACTCTCTTGAATAGATCTAATTCTGTTGGCTTTCAAAAGCCAATAGGAATCGTCCAGGCTGTCTCTGCCCTGCTGAGCCTGCCAAAAGTCCCATTCTGCAAACGGTGCTGCACCAGTTGAGTAGTCCTCGACTTACGACCGGTTGAGTAGTCCACGACTTACGACCGGTTGGGGGTCGCGGCATTAAAAAGGTTGAAAACCACTGTATTAGGACTTCAACTCCCAGAATG